GGTAGGTGTGGCTGACTCTTAACTTTTATAAAGAATATCTCTTTGGATTTGAGACTTTAGTCTTTGCAACTTTACAGATCTTCTTTATGCACCAAGAGCTTGTAACACTCCAAAGAGAAAGGAAAAATTGAAATCGCATCATATGACCCCTTTAAAGCAACTCATTCATGGTCATCATTACCCATGAGAACCCATAGAGCAGGGTTCCTCAAATCTTGCCCTGGAGGGCCAATGCGCTGCAGAGTTTAGCTCCAACCTTGATCAAACTCACCTACCTGTGATTTTCTAATGATCCCGAAGACATTGATTAGCATGCTCAGGTGTGGATCTCGTGGGCCAGATTTGAGGATCCCTGCCCTAGAGGGTGTGTTGGAGAGATGGCACAACAAATACTTATTAGATCACTTGTTGATATGCGTTTCTTAAAGAAATAGTTCACCCAAAAACGACGCCTATGTAATCATGTAGGCCTATTCATGATCCATCAGCCTGATTTTTGACATTCCACACAGCGGAATGGATCCGACGAATGAGCGGCAACCACATGTGACGGACCCCGGGCTGGATTCCGCTTCGTCCACGGAGAAAGTTGATGTATTCCTGGCGTGTTAGAACGAGTCGTTTTAGGTAGGTGTAACACTCCAAAGAGAAAGGAAAAATTGAATATATATATTTTTAAATATTTACATGTATATACATTTGTATTTTTATATTATTATATTTTATATTATACATAAATATAGGCCTATTTAATATATAAACAACATGTTTCTTAAATGCATGTGTTTGTATTTATATATAATAAATATACACAGCACACACACATATATTATGCAAACAAAAACTTATTTTGGATGCGATTAATTGCAACGAATCTTTTGACAGCACTACTAAAAACACAATCATTACAGTGAGCTACTCCTTCACAGACTCAAGACCTCTAGTCTGTCACCAGGGTTGCGTTCAGCCCCGACAAAAACGGTGCAAAACGTTTTTTAAACGGAAACGGTGGTGCGTTGAACACTCTGTTCTGTTTTAGCTTGAACTTGCCCCAGGTTTCGGTTATCCTCTATTTATGGATTACTTGTAAACTTGTGCCACCTACTGGTGGAACTAAATAATTACACACATTTTTTTTTATCACTTTTATTTTTTTTTATTCGTCTGGCTATTAATCATAATTACACCATTTTTTCTGCTGTTGATATATAGGCCTACAATATGACTGTTTTTTCCCCTCCACTATAGCTTTTATTCCACTTTAGTATTTTATTTTTTTACTGTTTTTTTACCAACCAGTAAAGTACACAGTTTTATTTATTTATTTATTTACACAACAGTACAAACTTTTAGGCATAAACATGCAGTCAGCACAAGACAACATGACAATCTCATATAAATGTAATGTATGCAGGTCCAGATCTAACGTCATTGATAAAATGCTGATAAATTTTGGAATTTTTTTCGACCAACTGGGACACAGTATATAGTAATATTTGGGGTAATATATATATATATATATATATATATATATATATTACATGGGCATATATAGTACCAACAACATAATGAGAGAAAATAAGGGTGTTGTTGGGTGGCAGTTGTGTTTATCTAGCTTGACTTGTGACAGGTTCACGGGCATCCATTTCCCGAGACATCTGACACCATACACAGGGACAACAACAGAAGGAAAGAAGGCAATCCTTCGCGATACTACCCTAGAGATAGAGAGAGATTAATTTACAAATATAAGGGAGGAATTTATAAGGCAGAATAGTTGTTTGAATAGTTGTAGTAACAGTGTGGTTTTGTATACCAGACATACAAACTAAGATATTTTGTAAGACATTTTACAAAGCATTCATAGGAGAGCCTTTAGAAAGATGAATATGTGTCCGAACCTCAATGCTGTAACGATGGCGCATGGACACCCTCATCAAACCAAACTGATCAATCAGAGGAAGGCAAAAACACTCGCCATACCTCTTAGCCGTATTACACGCAAAACAAGGAAAGCAGAAGAATGAAATGCAACCTATAAATGCAATTCTACTGTTAGTGATGCAAAAACATAAGAATGACAACTAAATGATGATACTCAGAAGAGACTCACAGTCTTTTTTATTGTTTAAGTCCACGCAGCCAAAGGTTCCAGTACTCCAGTGGTTGGAGTCTTTGGGCTGCTGAGATGACATCCTGTGTATTGCTTTTAAGATAGCCTACTTAGAGGTGTTAACATACATAATTAAAAACAACAAATTAGCTGCACATATTTCTGCAACGAATGGTGAATAATCAGTTAACATTATATTTTGTAATCATGGCCTAAATAATCTGAATACACTAAATGCATTATATTTATTACAATGTATTTATTAAATGCAGAAATGAACACGTTATTTTCCCAACCCTATTTTGTTTAGATAAGCTTGGTTATAATTTCCAGACGCCGTGGTATTGATATTGTACGCCTATTCTTTACTGAAAATGGGTCACAAACACAATGTATATCTACTCTTTAATCTGTGCCAGTATAAATTCAGCAACATGCATATCAAAGGCAAATTCACCAATTCCAAAAACTTACCTGAGCGAGAAGGTAGAGAGGACAGGCAGACTTGTGTTCAGTGAAAAGGATGAAAATCAGCTGCTAAGATATGCACACACATCTCACTTTAAATGCTTTCTAAAAGTCACTGGTCCGGTTATTTGCTTTTGTAATGAAGATGAATAATTCCACAGAACACAAATTAACATTCTGTGGAAAAGCTCATGCTTGTCAGTTCAGGGGAAATCGTTTTAGAACTCATGCCAGTGAGATTAATGAACAAGTGACATATTTGTGGTTTGCCTTTTACATGCAATGAAGTGCCCTGCACAGATGTTTCTATATGCTACAGGTTGTTTGAGCATACTGTACATTTGTCTTTAAAACCCAGTAAATGTGGTTATCAGAACCATGCAACATATCAAATTTACTGAGAGCCAGCTGCATTTCTTCAGCAAAAACATCAAGAATGATTGTAATTATTGCCATTGGAAAATGTAAGAAGAAAAAAAAAACATACAGGATGGGAGTTAATTTTTCTGATGAAGATGGTGAAGTTTTATTGCAGAATAACAGTGACAAAGTACATGAAGCACAATGGAGTGATACCGAACCCCTAACATCCTCCACTCAAGTTTTAGAAAAGTTTACCATATGGAAATTAAAGGGTAAGTTCACCCAAAAATTAAAATTAGTCCATGTTTTACTCACCCTAAGGCAGGTGTAGCCTATATGACTTTCTTCTTTCAGATGAATCTAATCGGAGTTATATTAAAAATTACCCTTGCTCTTCCAAGCTTTATAATGGCATGGGCGGGTGTTTTTGTTTGTTGTTTATAAAGTTTTAAATATGGATATTTTTCTTCAAAAAACACATTGATTCGCTGCAGGAGGCCTTTATTCACCCCCCCGGATCTGTGTGACGCACGTTTTATTATGGATGCGCTTTATTTGACTACTTTTGGACTGTTGAACAAAAACACCATTATAAAGATTGGAAGAGCAAGGACTATTTTTAATATAACTCCGATTGGATTCATATGAAAGAAGAAAGTCATACACAGATGCCTTGAGGGTGAGTAAAACATGGGCTAATTTTCATTTTTGGGTGAACTAACGTGTCACTGAGAACAATGAGATTCCTTTCAGGTGACACACTTTGTTATTAGTGCAGTATACTGTGGAAAAATGTTCATTTTTGGGTGAACTAACCCTTTAAGTTTCTCCTGTTGTAACTGTTGAGGTCTGTATGCACTATGATGTCCCACTGATGGTTCTCGCAGTGACCCACACCTGCTCCCATTATATAGCTGAAAACCATGTGTGAGCAAAGTGTGGATATTTGTTTTTCTCTATAATGCCCTTTAGTGTGATGTGGTTATTCGAAAATAAATCTGACAAAGTGTAATTCACATTTTAAGGCAGGAAATTAGGTATTTTAATACATTATATAGCTGTACAAAGTAGAAAGATGTATCAACATATATTAAAATGCAGAAATACCAGACAAACATCATACTGTTTTTATTAAATGGAACAAATACAATGGTGCATATCTAATGTCACTGAGAACAATGAGATTCCTTTCAGGTGACACACTTTGTTATTAGTGCAGTATACTGTGGAACAGCAAAGACGTTGTTGGTTTCCCAGTTGCCTTTATTTTGCTCGATTGTGGACAAGAGAGACGTTGTTTTCACGGACATTCATTTCTCGGGACATTTGACACCAGGCGCAGACGCCACAGAAGGTGGAATAAACGCAATCCTTACAGATAGTACCCTATAGAGAGATAGACAAACACCATAGGTTCTCCACATTTATATATGAGATATTACTTGGATAGAACAGGGTTTAAAACCAGTGTTGGGGGTAGCGCATTACAAGTAATACGAGTTATGTAATCAGATTACTTTTTTCAAGTAACTAGTAAAGTAACGCATTACTTTTTAATTTACAAGAGAATATCTGAGTTACTTTTTCAAATAAGTAACGCAAGTTACTTTTTTTCTTTTTTTTTTCCAATTTATTGATTGACAGCTCTCCTGTCCCCGGGTTGAGAGAAATCAGATGTTACTGTAGTTCTAAAATAAATATAAATATGCATTAATTCATCTCACTCACACAAAAAAAAAAAAAACACACACAGATTCAGTATTCCTCAAAATGAATAAAAATAATGCAACTCAGAATATGACGCAAACCTGCAATAATTAAATGTTAAACATCACAAATATCCTTTATTGTATTTAATCCCATTCTATAAAGCAATGTCTTTGCTTCTGACCTTCGATGATCCAGTTCAACCGTACTAATAAGCACAAATTACTCTAGACAAACATTTGTGTGTTTTTTTTATTGCTGAAGTGTGTTGAAATGTCTTCTTCTGTATTCTACTGTACGGACGTAAATTTACTTTCCCTTCAGCCTGAGGCTTATTCATTTCACTTTTGGTGTGAAACGGCTTTTATATTTGCCAAAAATAGAACTTTTTTATTTTAAAAACAAACAAGCAAGCCCTGTCCAGATTTAAAAAGTAACGCAAAAGTAACGTAATGCATGACTTTCCATAAAAAGTAACGAAGTAACGTGATTCGTTACTTTTTTTATGGGGTAACGCAATATTATAATGCATTACTTTTAAAAGTAACTTTCCACAACACTGTTTAAAACACAGATTGTATTTGTCCAAACCTGGATTCCATAGCGAGTGCGCACTGATACCCTCATGGCCATTGTTATTGGAGGAATGCATCCAAATCCGTCGAGCAGAGGCAGACACAGACACTCGCCATGCTTACGAGCCGTCGCACAGGCAAAACAGGGAAAGCACCAAAACGAGAAGCAACCTACAAATAATACTACCATTAGTGATGAGAATGAATCAACATGTTAAAGAGTTATAAGAAACACTGATATTTCACATTGATTGAAACGTCAATATTTCTTTTATGTATGCTAGATTTCTATATGTTTATATATGTAGCACCATATAGTCCTGTGAGGCACATTTCGTTCCTTTGCATATGACAATAGTATAACACGACTCTTATTTGAATTGATCAACCACACATCAGCAATGCCACTTTCACATCTCTCCTATCACTTCTTTCAGGTGCTTCAAACAAACGTAGATTGCGCCATCTGGTGTCAGTTATCAATTCTAGTGTAAATAACTTCAGAGGACTTCAGTATTTATTGAAGTGTTCATCTTGCTAGGCCCATTGTTTTGTACATTGTAATGGACTTTTTTGGACTACTAAATCTGTCATATTATTGTGTATGTTGAGTATAAAACCTTCATCCTTTCCGCTCCTCTATGGTGAAACTTTCGAGAACCAGCTGAAGACACACTTTCACAAGGACTCAACCACACCACAAACTTAAACCAATGCACACACACACACACACACGCACACACACACACACACACATGTTGTGTTTCCATGTTTTATGGGGACATTCCATAGGCGTAATGGTTTTTATACTGTACAAACTGTATGTGCTGTTGCCCTACACCAACCCTACCCCTAAAACACACACACACACACACACACACACACACAGACACACGTTTCCATGTTTTATGGGGCATTTGTTCTTTGGTCTAGCTAATTTTCTCATCTAGCTTTCTAATAAACCTGGCATTGTATAATAAAGCGTCTGCTAAATGTGTAAATGTAAATATTTCCCCTGATTCTTTCTTTTGCTCTGTCTGTCTGTATCAAGGATATGGTTAAATTACTACTTTTATATAGACTAGATTTGTATATAGGCATATGTATGTATCACTGTAGTCATGTGAGGTGCAATTTGTAGTAGAATGATAATAAAGTCCATCTTGAAGCTCTAAGCTAAGCAGAAACTATAAAATAATTTATATTCAAAGCAATATTTAATGTCTCTGTATGAATTTACTTAGTGAGAAGCTGTTTAGTAAGAAGGATAATATATAGTCCACCATAATTCTCAAAAATCCCAAAATAAAATGACTACACATTATTGCTTTCATAGTAATGATTCTGGCACTCTGGGGTAGCCTTTATACACACATTTTAGTGATGTACAATCATTCACAGCTTTTTAACAATATTGCTGTATAGTTGCAAAGTGACATTCTTTAAGGAAGTACACCCCCGAAAGACACACCAAAATAAACAGAAGAGAGAGAGAGAGAGAGAGAGAGACTCACACTCTGGTACATCTTGACAGCAGTCACAGATTCCAGAGCTCCACTGGTTGGATGTGTGTGCCATGACAAAGGGCCTGGGCTGATGAGAAGTCATCCTGTTTATTACGAAATCCTTCAACAGACACAAGCGCACACAGTTACAGAAAGATAAAAAAATAAATAAAAATTAACTTTTTTTTTGCAGTTCGCTGTCCACATATCAGAGGTTGAATAGACTCTGAAATGAAATCTAACTAATTAGTCATAGCTGAATCATTTTTAATTTATGTAAACATAAAATACAGAACATGCAACAGTAGTCAGGGATCAACAATAAAAATTAATTTATCCTACAGCTCAGTAAAACCAGCAGTTGAGGTTTATTCCCTGCCCATTTTCATTACCATCAGCATAAAAATACTCTGGAAATGAACCGACTATCATAGTTATTCCTGAAATGTTGACAAAAACCCAGCTAGGCATTTAAATCAGTGTATAGTGGTAATAATGTTCAATATAGCACGCTAAACGAAATACTTATGTATAAAAAACCTGATCAACAAATGTGAGACATAGATGTCAAGAAGACCTGGACCATCAGGCCAACATTATTGTTGAGCGCTTTTAATATTGCTTTAAAAAATATCTCATATTTTGTCTTTTCAAAAGCTGCACTGAAAAACAGTTGGTGTAGACAATTTTCACTCAGAATCTGCTAGTAAATTTCATAAACAATTACAAAGATATGGTAATTGGGCATTTCTTAAAGTGCGCAATTTTTTTTGTCTTACAGAATACATGTTAAACTAATGCAAACTGAATAATCACAAAAACTGCTCTTACCTGAGCGTGAGACTAGAGAGGACGGATGTGTTCATTCACACTCAAACAGAAAAAGGATGGAGATAAGTTGTTAAGACAGTCCCATAAAAAGACACAAGTAGGTGTACATCTTAATTAAAGTACTTCCTCAAAGTCACTGGTCAGGTTAGCGATGTGTCACTGCTGATAACGCCCATGACCCTCCACCTGAAAATCCATCATCATGTTGTTTTAACAGGGGCATAGTTTCACTAGAGAATGAAGAATCTCTTGTTTGTCTGTAGGCATGTGCATGACAAACTATCTTTGGTTTGCTGGTGGCATTAATGTGTATAAAAGGCAGAAATATAAAAGTTAAAACAACATTGCTCTAAGATAACGTGTGAAGTGATACGGGAAGGAGAGAGCTTTTTTTATTCATTATATAACATGGAACTGGACAGACCAGTTATTAACACTTACACATATAGCTTAAGTGTTGCAAAACAACAGTGAAATTAAGGGAAAACAGACATTTTATTTAATGAATATATATATATTTTTAAATGCTATTTTAAAGATCATTATTTTGTGTATTTGGTGTGACAGAATATGTTGACATGCTTTAATGCTCAAAAAACACATTATTTTTCAAATACTGTACATACTGTACGGTCCTCTATGCCCCGGAAAACTTGAAATCGCATCATATGACCCCTTTAAGATTTTCACTACTACCTTGACTCTTTTTTTGGAGGGCTATGAACGCTGCCTATACACATTAGTTGTCAAAACATGTCAGATATAACACAATGCTGATTTGCAAAAAGGTGGTTTGCTAACATGTTATAGATTCCTATGACATTTTAGTCATGGTGACAATGAATTCTTATTAAGGATAATATTGCCAGATGAAGTTGGACTCTAAAAGATGTCAAATTCAGTCAAGACCAACAATCTGTCTTTAATTTGCTGAACACTGCCGCATGATCCAGATAACACTATCTGTCAGTGTTTTTGGACTTGGTAACTGGCAGATTTTTAGTTGGTCCAAGCTAGACAAATGCCAAATGTGCATCAACAGCTTACAGTAGAACTACTTAACAGGGTCATGTGTTGTTTTACCTTTAATACATATTCAGTCTTTCCTATGCCCATGTTGTTTATTCATTTCAAAGAAAGTGGAATATTTAGTCTTAAGAATATAATATTCACAGACACGCCAGCAAAAAAGAAGAAAAAAAGTCAAAGAAATATAAATAAATAAAACTAAATAAAATAATAAAAATAGCACCAACATGGAGAACTATAGCAAAAATAGAAACAATAGAGATGATGTTAACGATTCAAATTATTATTGATTGTTGACTTAGAAAACAAGTACTCTTAAAACACTAGAATGCAATTAATTTGTCCATCTGTGGAGTGTATGTACAGTATTTATATTTTTACAGCAGACAGTTTTGACAATAATTCATGTAAAAGAATTGTATTTAAGAATTGTATAAGTTTTTGTTTAGATTATTATTACTTTATGCAATAATTCTTAATTTTTTATATTTAACTTTTTATAAGGGAATTATGAGAATATAAAATAACTGAGTGAAATGTATAGGTTCATGCAATTTTGAAATCGGTTTAGTTTGATTATATCAATTAATCTTTCTTACTTGTGCTGTAATAAAATGCGGAAAATGAGAAAAAAAAAGATATGTGTAATCATATCAGAGGGATGGGCAATTATGAGTAAAGTTTGTTTACCGTAATTGCTTTTAACTGAACTGTGCTTGTCAGACTTGTTATAATATTACAAGCTAAGCTCCTCTTTCAATAGCTAGTCCTCTACAGTTCTTCCACCCATACCAATCCCACATCACGTCTGCCAGCTTTTTCCTGAAATAAAAGTATTAAAGTTTCAAACACAAACTCAGATTTGAGTGATTTTGTAATTAGTTTCATTATGCTCTGAACTGAGATCAATCTGTTGTGATCGGAAGCAGTCACACTAGATGAGATGCACATCATCTAGACCCACCAGTGGTGTGTAATGGGTTTTAGAGGATGATAAAGAGCTGGCATTGATCTCTTAATCTCACGGGAGATCTGACACCAGGACAGCGGATAGCAACAACAGCCATAAAACCAGTCACTGCACACATCACCCTGGGAATAAGACAGAGAGAAAGAGAGAGTTGAAATGATGCAAAGATGCCGAGTCATAACATCCTGAAAGCTAATACTGTTTTGGCATAAATCTCTTGCAGACTGAATGAATGACCCCACTCTCAACTCTTGTTTTGGATATTTTTGTGAAACATTACCTCATAAATCACATAAAATGTAATCCATCTCCATCTAGTGGTAGAATTAAATACACACGTCAAAAGCATTTCACTTTTCTCATCTTTGTCTCTTCCTACAGGGGTAATTCACCCAAACAAAGAAAAAAAAGAGAAAATTCTGTCTGATATTTTTGAGAGTGTTGGTAACCAAAAAAAATAAAAAAGAATTGACACATTTCTCAAAATGTCTTTTTTATGATTCACATGAAAGAATGTCATAAAAGTTTGGATCAATTTGAGAGTAAATTATGACAGAATTATATATTTTTTTGGTGAAGTATACATTTAATTTTTACTTCTAAAGCACAAAAGATGCTAACGGAGGGTCACAAATAAAAATGTGTTGAAAATTTACTCATCCTCAGGCCATGCAAGATGTAGATTAGTTCGTTTTTTTCATTGGAACAGATTTGGAGAAATTTAGCATTACATCATTTGTTCACCAATGGATCATCTGCAGTGAATGGGTGCCGTCAGAATGAAAGGCTAAACAGTTGATACAAACATCAGAATAATCCAAGTCTTGTGAAGTCAAAAGCTGCATGTTTGTATTAAACAAATCCATTATTAGGATGTTTTTAATGTTAAACAGTATAATACAAGTCCTCTATGCATATTATTGTTGTCTCCAGTGAAAAAGTCATCTTATCTGAATCAGGAGAGATATATGCACAGATTCAGCACCTTTATAAAATGGCCCAAATCCGTTCTACACCAATATGTCAGCGGATTTTAATGTAAGAGGGCAACAGGGAATGGACATTTTCACTGGAGGAAGTGTTATTATGGATTAAGGATTATAAACACACTGCTTTTCCCTTCACAAGACATTAATTGATGAAATGGGGTCGTGTGGGTTAAAAATGTCAACTAATTGTTTATTTGTGGACAAACTATTCCTTTACAAGGCCTGCCTTCAATTTGTATGATCACTAGATCATTTCAATACTAAATCCAATTTAAAAACAAAAAAAAATTCAGTTGAATTTAAATACACTCAGTTTGTCATAAAATAACAGTAAAGAAAGAAATCAGAGGACAACTTTATGACTCAGATCTGATATCGCCGAGCTCTTTCTTTCTGCAACAAAATCGATTTCTTATGTCACATGTACTCACATGTAACATGCAGTCACGGCGCACTGGTTTGTGTTGTGGGTGTTTGCTATCAGAAGAACTTTCAGTTAGTTTGGTGTTGAGAAAAGATGCTTATCGCAACCAATTCACATGGTTTTGGAAGAGGGTCATATGGGTGGAATGTAAGTGTATGTGTGGGCATTGGGTCATGTGCGTGGATGTTTGTGTGTGGGTGCCTTTTTGTGTAAGAATATTCATGCTTGCAATTGCATAACTGTTGTAAATCACTTCCAAAAAGAAATTTGGTGCGATATAATAGTACTATAATACTAACATGGCGAATTAAATGACTATATGTATTAATGATTGCGTTTTTTGTTTCTTGTCACAGTATTTGAACATGTTGCAGATTAAGGTCATTGCACGAGTGATTTCATTTCACCTCAATGCCGTAACGTTCTCTTACAGCTACACGCATGGCCAGTGACACTGGCGTTCCACATCCAACACAGTCCAACAAGGGCAGACTGGGGCATCCCCCTGCTCCTCTGTTCGTCTTAAAAACAAATAAAGGCAAGCACCAAAAAGCACAGCAACCTGAAACACACACAGACATCGCTTCAAACACAAACAAATTATGCATGTGTATATTTTCATTGATATTTCACATTGCAGTTAATGTGAGATCATGATGTTTTGCATGGCCATTAGTGCAGTGAATAGACACTCACAATCATCCATATCCCCCCAGCATTCACAAAGTCCAGTGCTCCACTTGCCGTCCTGTTCTGCTGAGCTGGGTTGGGACTGTACCACTCTCAGCTGCAGGGGGATGCTGACTCTCTCCATAGCGACATTAATACCTGTGCCATTTTAATGTTTATTTGCAATTCTA